CGACGGAGCGTTTCGAGGAAAACAAGTGATTTCTCAAGATTAATTAAAGTAATGGATTTGGACTGGGATTTTAGCAAATGAGAATATACAAGTTTGTGATCTACTACTTTGACAGAAAGATTGACCTTTTCTCATAAATACTAGTTCAATTCATAATTTGTGGTCAATTCGTCAACTTCAGATTCATTCAATCTAAACTATATGGAGCTTTGATCAAGCACATAACAGTTTACCATCAGGAGTTGAATAAACAAGAATTTTTTCAAAAATGTTGTTTAGAAAGAATAACCTTAATTGCTTATTTTTCAGATTTAAAGTAGTTCCTAACATTTAAAGTTTTACTGTAGACTACAGTGTGCTCACCATAAATAAATGGCATCTTGATATTATATCACCATTCCCAGCACAGGAAGTTGTATTATGGGCTTTCAATTAGAGTTGAAAGCCCATGGTTGTATCAAGTCCTTTTTTGGGCCTCTATGGGGTTCTGTTGGGGTCCTTAAGCTCAGTAAATTATTTATACCTCAATACAGTGTAAGGTAAGCACAGTCACCACCATCTATCTATAATATCTAACATAGTATAATAAAGTCTGGTAATAGATATGAGGTCATGTCCATGAGCAGAGTTTTGGCCAAAAAAAGTAAGAAATTTGTGCTTCAAGCTAAATACCTGCGAATTGCAAGTGATTCTGACCATGTTTTAAGTATCAAAATAATGCTTAGAGTATTGAGACTCAACTGAAGTTAAAAAATAAGGTGAAATGTACACAAACTCAGTGATAATGACCAAACAAAAACGGATAAATTTCAGGCTATGGTGTTACAATGTTCAAGGATTAACTCCAATTTCCTCCCAGACACTCCAACTTTTGGCAATTCTTTAATTCAAACAGAGCAATCTGTGAAGGTCCTTGGAGTAGTCTTTGATAACAATATCATGTTCAATGATCATATTAAGAGTTACGCATTAAGACAGCACATCAATGTCCTTATACAACTCTCAAACTTAGACATGAAAACTCGCATGACCATCTTTAAGGCCTTTGCCTTATCACATTTTAATTTTTCCCGATTGCAATAGTATGGCATCATTGCAGCAAGAGATATGCTCTTAAATTAGAAAAGCTCCAAGAGAGATGTCTCCATTTTGTTTATAAGACCATGAGTCTGATTATGATACTCTTATTGACAAATCAGGCCTGCTGACCTTAACTCTAGGTAGACAAAGACAGATTGCGATAGAAACCTTCAAAGTTATAAATAATCATTCTCCTAGTTATCTTGATGACATACTACACTAACAGGAGCATACATCTAGTTACAATTTGCATCACAAAAATATTCTAAATGTTCCACCTTCTAATACTGTAACACATGGCAGACACTCTTTTAGAGTTGATGCATGCTTTATATGGAACAGTCTAATCTCAGAATATGTGTTTCTGTAACAGAGTTCAAGAAACTAATTAAATCTTGGAATGGTGATAACTGCAAATGTGCAATATGTAAATGTAAAATGTAAATGTTCTAGATTCTCTGTGTCGCTATATACAGTAGATCTATTTTTGCAATGTACTGAAGGTACATGTTGTTATTCTGCTAAAATATGTCATTTATTTATCGTTAAAGTTAAATGTGTTTCATTTAATTCCTCAGGCCTTGAATGATTTATTTAATTCTTGAACAAAATAGATTTAAGAAAATTAGACAAGTTTCAGTGGTGTGCGAAATGTGTGGGTACATAGCTATTTCATATCATAACAAAAACTATACGTAATATTTTCAATCCAAGAAAATATTTCATCATATTACATAATTCATTGTGTTTCATTTAATTTCAGTTCAATTTACTGTATTTTTACATTTTCATCCCAATTCTCTGCCCTTGAGAATGGATCCTTTAACCTAGCCTGGACAACATGGAATAAATGTTAAAATTGTGGCTTCCATTTTCACTGTGGAGGAACTCATAAAGTGAATTACGAAAACAGATCATGGCGCAACCATTATTCAATAAAATTTGTTTTTCCAAGATTCTGTGAGATATAGTCAAAATCATTACTACCTTTTTGGCACAGACATAACTCTTGGTCTTATGCTTCAGAAAATATAAGCTTTTGCGAACGAATCACCTTGTAAGACTTCGAAATCATCAATAATTACTTCCTCACTTAAGTTACGTAAATGAACTCAGTAAAATATGAAAACGGGCTCACATCTTAGTTCAGTAGATACAAAAATGGATACATTTCCTAATATACCAACCAGTCTGTGTTTAATACCAAATTTTCAAGTTTTATTTTTGTAATACCAGTATGAAAGCATTTCTAGTCCTACCGAAATAAGAAATAGTGTCAGACTGACCTAGTCCCTAATAAGATCCTGGGGAATACAGTGCCAAGTGGTATACTGTGTGGTCCCAACCACACCTAACCTAGGGTTACTATTCCAGGACCATTATCTCTAGGGCTGTTTGTACTGGATTTAAATTCCTGATATGTCCTACACTTTATTCCCAGGTAGTGTTTTCAGTAGGTTTGTCCAAGATTTCATCCCTGGGATGTACTGATTTTCAAAAACTGTGTCCCTTGAAAATTGCTCCTGGGAATTCAAAGTCACGTTTTTACACTGAACGAAATAAAATTGATGATATTTTGTATCGCTTTTGCTATTTATCGGTCTAAATCAGCATTCTAGAAAGTCTAGTATGTCATTGAATGATACCGATACCATCACTTGTGAGGTATAACTTATAATCAACCATTAAGCACTTGACCAATAGAAAATGGTTTAAATCAGGTTTGCTAGCGCATCATGAAAAACAGACATCCTCAGGAAGAATATTTTCTGTATTTCACTCGAATCATTGAATAACTTATATTATTGATAATGGGTAAAATTTATCAATATTTTAGGCAAATTTTCATTGAACCACCAAATATTTTAAACCATAAAATGCTACATCATTTTTGTTACATCTCTGAAAATGTCGATATAAATGTGAAGACACATTGAGTTTGCCACTGAGTTCGTCACTGAATTTAAGCCTTGGTCACATTTGCTTCAGCAACGCCATACGCATGGTCTTTCATTTCTGCAGCTAACAACATTTAACGATCCCTTAGCATTTCTGCGGTCAGGACAGATACGTATTATAGAAGTCACATTTTCGAAGGCAGCCATGTGGCGTATTTTGATTCCAAGGAGGCATATAAGCTATGGTTGCCATACAGTCTTTAATTGGTGACGCACGGTCAGGTAGTCAAAAAACAACAGCGGGGGTAGCCCTTTTCTGGCTTGTTGAACAAGAAATTTTATTTTATAACAATGAGGGAGATTTTGAGAACAAATGCCATAGAAACCAGCTAGTATTTAAACACAAGTTTGAAATTTGGAAACTAAGTAAAAATAAGTAAATAGTAAAATCTATAAGCATTTTAAGTTCTGTATACTAGTTAGTACCATTGTAACTTAAGTTAATAAACATGCGGTACTAACTTCGACAGTTAATTTGAATTTTTGACCTACCTGATGTTTGAAAATCAAGGATTACGAGTCTCATACTGCACTGTTTTTCTTCAAACTTGTTCCATTCAAAGCATAAAAAAATCCCTTTCTGATGGTACATTATTCTCTTAAACAGAGTCCCTACTTCCAGCGGCATTTTAGTCCCAAGCTGTAAGAAGACCTCCTTACAGCTGGGGACCAAAACGCTGCTAACACGAGGGACTCTTTACAATAAGGTAATGCACCGACAGAAAGGCAATTTTGTTTTGCTTTTAATGGTATAAGTTTGAAGAAAAACGGTGCAGTATGAGACTCACAATCCTTGATTTTCAAGCATCTGGTAGGTCAAAAATTCAAATTAACGGTCGAAGTTAGGACCGCGTGATAAATTGATTAAAAAATAAATAAAAAAACAAAAAAACTCAAGTACCTGTTGGTACACAGGAGCTCTGGTTGAGAAGGAATTCAAGATGGCAGCTGAATTTCAAGATGGCCACCATTCATGATCATTGATAACTCAAAAACCAGTCGATGGAATTGGTTCAAATTTTACACGCCTTAAAACACGAGAGCTCCACTCAAAAAGACATTTTCAAGATAGCTACCAAATTTCAAAATGGCCGCCATATTTCATTAGAAAATGTAATCTTTGATATCTCAAAAACCAGTTGATGGATTTGGTGACATGAGAGCTCCACTCAAGAAGACATTTTCAAGGTGGCTACTAAATTTCAAAATGGCCACTATTTTACGCAAGAATTGTAATCTTTGATTACTCAAGTACCAGTGGACGGATTTGGTTCAAATTTTATATTCTTATGCCTTGAGATAAAGGAGCTAGGCTCGAGAAGAAATTTCCAAGATGGTACCTGAATTTCAAAATGGCTGCCATTATTCTTAAAAATTATAATCTTTGATTACTCAAATACCAGTTGACAGATTGGGTTCAAATCTTATATACTGATACCTAGGGACAAGGGAGCTCTTTTCAACCAGTCTTTATCCAACCAGTTTTTGTTCTGTGGGATTTGGTACTCAGTGGAGTTGCTGTTTTCTAGTAAGAAATGTGAATACTCATAAGCATGGCACACTGACTACTGCCTCATGACACTTTGGGCTAGTAGGCAGCCATTTTGAAAATATATGTGTCTTCTTAGAAGCATATTACACTTTCTTATGACAATATGGCTAGTGAGGGACAAGGTGGCCATTTTTATGTGTGTTATTTTACAATTTCTGCTGTAAGTGAAAAAGTAGTAGAAAGATTTTGTAAAAATTGCAACCATGGCTGTTCACTGGAATTTGCTCCGCTTTGGCATTGCGGTAATCTAGTTTAAGTAAGTCAAAACGTTTACTCCCAAGATAATTCACCAACTTTTTCACTTGCAGATATCATCATTCCAACTCCTCCGAGTTCCTAGAAAACTGGGAGAAGTGCACAATGGATTTGGACAATTACCCAGATAAATTGTATCTTCTATTATATTTCAGGCAAGAAAAAACAAGAGTCTGGTGATAGCTCTGCAAACACCACTCAGAAATATACAGTAGATCAGCTTCTGGATAAGGTAGAATACATTAAAATTGTCATAAATGTTACATGATTCCCCCTAAGATTACCCTTGCCAAGAGCTTAAAGCAGAAGTAATGGTTGGCTCTCTGTTTATCTTAATATGTTGATTTATGTATAATTGGGGAAATAAAGATATAATTTTTTTTTAAATTTCTAAAATGATGAATTTATTTATGATTTTTAATTTTGACTTTTTAATTGATAATAGTGACATAAAACCACTACACCTTACTTCCTGCGAAAGCTATTTGGATTTTGATATAATAGCTTTCCAACTGAGCATTTGGACAGCTGAATGATTGTGACCTTTGAAATCGAATTAAGTCGATCCGCGGCTTACTTTTGGTCTCTAACTGTGTCTTACATCAGTATCATCAATCTGTGTAAGTATTAGAGCGCTGGAATACTTCTTTTTCGATCAAGACTTGTAAATGGTTCATCGAGTGAATGTTTTTTAGACCTATTTCCAATATGGCGGCTTGCTAGGAGCGAGATACGCAACGAACGAAATGAATTTTGAGAATTAGTTAGGTTCGGACAACCTCCGGAGATTTACGAAAATGTCCGAGCAGAAAACGCCATATTGGAATTTGGCAGTAAAAAGATTCACTCGACTAACAATTACAAGTCGATCGAAAAGGAAGTACTTCAGCGCTCCAATACTTACACGGATTGATGATACTGACGTAAGACACAGTTAGAGACCAAAAATAAGCCGCGGATCGACTTAATTCGATTTCAAAGGTCACTATTGATCAGCTGTTCACTTCCGCGTTTGAGAGCCATAAGTTTCAAAATCTAACATGGCTCTCGAAGTGAGTAAACTACACCCAGTCTTTTGTGCATTGTGTTTGTCTTTTTTTTACTGTATTTTAATGATTTCTTACCATACATAGAATGGATTTTGGTGTTAACAGTGATATTAAACCCGCACATTGATCTAAAACGCAATATTTCGACATACATTATTTTTATATTTTCATACAGCCAACAAGATTACTAAAGATCGAGTGTTTGACATGATTAAAAAATGTTTCTCTGCGTAATATCAAAGCACAATCATTTAGTTAAGAACAAAAATTAATTCCCGAGTGGGATTCGATCCACTGACATCTGTGCCCACGGCGAGCATTCTACCACAAGACCAACATCATGATCTAAGACACCTTAAGAGTAATTTACGCTACTAATATTGAATGTTCTAATTCAGCAGTGACGTCACGTTCTTAATTTAGAAACCTTCCAAAAATAATATTGTCAGCGACAATCAAAGCAATTCAAAGAAAAATCCTCATTATGACACATTTATCGTAAGTATTTGTAAACAAGATTTGCCTCATTTGTTCACCCAAGATTGTGTTCTAGAGCGATGTGCAGCTTTAATTTTAAATTAAAAGATAAATCTCCAATTCCGCTCAGTAACTCCGTTCGCTACTTTCGGTTTACGTTTGCATGATTTTTTCAATCAGTTTTCACTTTTCTAACTTGAACTGAAAGACCTTTAGAAACTAATACACAGAAGTGTATATGATGAATTCCAAAAATAACTCCACAATAATATTTTTTTCATTCACAATTTCATGTCATGGTTTCTAACAAGTTGCCTCATTCTCTCTTTTCATGATTTTTGTCAACAGTCAAAATCAGTGTTTAAACCTGGTTTCTTTACACGATTGCCGTTCATGTCACGCATTTGGTCCGAAATATGTGTATATATCACGCATCTGTTTCGAAAATATTCACACCTACCATGACACAAAAGTTAAACTATACCTCAAATCCTACATTGACAGTCTATTTGATGCTAAATAGCGATAATTAACATGATTTTTGTGCTGATTTGCTTAATCTTTAAATTTTATTTTCCATTTTTCTCAAAGTCAAAGTGATCCCCGATCTCTGTTGATGTGACGTCACTCATTAATTATGCAGTACAATAAAGAAGGCAATATGGCGACTTACACAATTCTGAGCCAGAGTGGAGGTCTCCAAATTGAAATGAATATGTTTGCGTATGCATCAATCGATCGCATATGTATTTACCCAGCCGATCTTTTTAATAAAATACTTAATATTGTAATGGATCACACTTTTGTGACCTTATTACCCCTTTAACTTCAACTACATTCTTAAAGCACTTTAAATTAGATTTCTTTATATATAGCCAATGTCTAATCGGAATTATGTGGTGCTAACTCACAAGCTGCAATATATGTTGTATGAGTAGTAACCTCAGGTAACGTCAATTTTAGATTGAAATTGCTGTGAAAGCTTAATTTGAGGACAGAAAGGATCTTATGAGCATCAAAACTGCTAAATTATCTATATTTGTCAAGGGGAATCTAGACAAAGGTGATTCATTTACTCTTATTTAACCTACATGGCTTATGAATCTTTTTATTAGCTCACATCACATGGTTAGCTTTTGCAATCACTCACTTGTCTGTCGTCCATCTGTCAGCCGACAACAGTGGCACGTTTTAAAACCTCTGTCATTCTCGTTTTAAATTCTTTTTTTTTCAATATCGATACAGAAAACCCCCCTATGACTCCTGGTTTAAAATCTCACCAATTTTGAAATCCACTTTTAGACCATTTGTTTTAAACCTCTGTTGATAGGATTCCCGTTTTAAGTTTTTTTTGTTCAACATCAACCAAAGTAAAAAGAAATGGCAATTCTCATGTAATAATTTGTTAACTTTTGTCTAACAAATATGCACTTTGATGAAACTTAACCTATTTGTTAAATGAGCATTAAACCAATGAAAGTTGAATGCCAATAAAAATGTATTTATCATTTTTTATTGTCTGCCATTTTAGCCATCATTCCTTTTCTCTTTTTGAACAATACCATGTGGTCCCAGTATCCACTGTACTATTTTTCAGTTGTCATTTATTTGTACATACAGGTAGCTGAATACCTTGATGAGTTCAAATATGAATTGGCACAAAAGTTTTGCCAACGAGCTGTTGAACTGGAACCTGACAACCTTAGAGCATTGGAACTTTCTGGGCAACTTCTGCTTGAGGTTGGCAACAATGAAAGTGCCAAACATGTATCCATTTAACAAAAATATATAAATTAATAAAATGTAACATTAGTACTTCAATCTGAGTACTCTGTTTTGAGGAAATGATGATTACTTACATGTAACTATTAACTTCAAATGATGACATCATAAAATGGAAAATGGACTAAATTGTTTTGAATATGAAACTTAAAATTTTATGATACCATGTACTTTCTGTTCTCCCCAAACTGACAAAATTTAACAAATTATAAACTTCCCCATTTTGTAACTGCCATGTTTTGTCCCTTCATTGTAAACCTTGAACATGCAGTTTGCTTTCCTTAGCCAAGCAGTGTTTCGGTAGGGCAGTTGAGTTGAGCCCTGATAATGGACACAGCAAATATATGTACTTAGGGCAGCTATGTGAAGGAGTAGATGCTGTGACATTCTTCCAGAAAGGTATAGCATTGATGGAAGAGAGTTTACTAGAGCAACAGAATAAGGAGGTAACTACAGAATTGCAGTCCTTAAAATAATATGACCACTGTAGTTAAATATCAATGATATTTTCAAATTGTGCTATACAATTTTTGGATTAACTGTATCACCTATCCCACCAAACGAAGTTTGAGGGGGATATAGAGAAGTGACAATACCTCAAATACTGATTGATGGATTTGATTCAATTTTTACAGGCTTATGCTTTATGTGTGTAGGACCTCTACTTGAGAAGAAATTTTTCAATGTGGCCACTCAATTACTCAGATGCGAGTAGGTAGTTACCAGTTTCGCCACCAGGTGGCTGATTCGGGGGAATTAACATGGCAGAGTATTACAAAATTCCCTTAAACTTGAATATACATCAGTTTTAGTGGTTCACTTTTCATATTACCTTTATGTATCTGATAGTTATACAAATTAATATATGTCCAGTAAAAGAAAATATTATCTACCCAACACAAGAAAAGATATTTCACTTTTTGTGGTTTTACAACATTGGGTCTATGCGTGATCTCCCCGACCTAGAAGTCACATTTTCAAACAAAATTAAATTTTGAATTGTTAATGACGTAAATTGAGATTATTTCTACTCGCATCTGGGATATTCAAAATGGCCACCACTTTCATGAAAAATGATAACTCAAATACTAGTTGATGGATTTAGTTCAATTTTCTTCTGTGAAAATGAGGATTTTAGTGATGTGTATTGCCTTAACACGGCAGGGTGGTAAAAAAAGGTTCAAAAAGGTCTTTTTTCAAAATTATCTACATGTCATCATAAGTTCAAATCTGACATTAGATTTAAGATTTGACCTTCTCAAGGTCAAAGAAAGGTCGAAAACGTCTTGACTTTTTAAATCTGACTGATTCGACCTTCAATGTATGACCTCAAGGTCAAAACTGTATTTTTATGTCACCACCAAAAAGTGGTGACATATTATTTTGGTCTCCATTTTTTGAAGATGGTTAGTGGTTGGCGATCAGTGTCTGTGACAACTTCTTACAACTTCCAATAACTGACTTCAATTTTTTTCAAAATCATCTGCATGTTTTTAGATGTTCAAATCTGACTTTAAATTTAAAGGTCAAATGCCTGGAAATATTAACACAATTGAACCTGTTGAACAACTAATACACATACTTTGTGTGGCTTGGTTGAATGGCTATTAATCCCAAGTTCCGGTGTGTCTCATCAAGAAGACGATAGAGTGATAAAGATTATGTCAAGCAGAGTTTATAATTTTTGTGCAAATTTTCTTCTTGGATCGAAATATTTCATTTTAATTCCATTAACTTACGATAAGTGGCAAAAGGTCTAAAGGTAGGTCATGTGACACAAAACAACGAATGATATGACTCAAAAACAATGATTCATTCACCAGATGGCGTAGTTAAATGAGGTCAATTTTACGACAAACTAAAATCATTTAGCTCAGCTTCAATTTTGCTCTCACAGTCGAACGAAACTGTAATTTCTTTCGTCCATATCTAGATGAGTGATTATTTTCAGGCTCCGGTATTTTGAAAAAAGTAAGTTCAGGTCATAGCCATTCTTGGGGGCATGTTTGAGGCACCAACGATTTATTTTGGATCTAAGGAATTATTCCTGACTTCTGGCTATTGCACCTTTAAGATTTGACCTTTTCAACATCAGAAGGTCAAAAAGGTATTTTTTCAACTCGCTTCAAATTGACCAATTTTCTTTTTCAAAATCATCTACAAGTTATCAGAAGTTCAAATCTGACTTTAGATTTGAGATTTGACCTTCAATGACCTTCTCAAGGTCAAAAAGGTCTTGTTTCAACTTTTTATCACACCATCGGTGGGATATAGTTGTCATATTAGTGGTGGTCGTGGTCGTGATCGTGATCGTGGTCGCGATCGTTCCGCTTTTTGTCATCGCCGTTTAAGGAAAACTGCTCATCAGATTTTCTCCAAATTCGCAGAGATGATAGAGCATATGCAGCCATCTTGTTTTCTGGTGGCCATTTTGAAGGTTTTTCGAAAAATCTTGTCATCGCCATTTCAGGAAAACCGCTCATCGGATTTCCTTCAAATTTACACAAATGATAGAGGATATCAAGTACTAGAGCTGATTAACTTTTGGGCGGCCATCTTGTTTTCTGGCAGCCATTTTGAAGATTTTTTGAAAAATCTTGTCATCGCCATTTCAGAAAATCCGCTCATCGGATTTCCTTCAAATTTACACACATGATAGAGGATATCAAGTACTAGAGCTGATTAACTTTTGGGCGGCCATCTTGTTTTCTGGTGGCCATTTTGAAGGTTTTTCGAAAAATCTTGTCATCGCCATTTCAGGAAAACCGCTCATCGGATTTCCTTCAAATTTACACAAATGATAGAGGATATCAAGTACTAGAGCTGATTAACTTTTGGGCGGCCATCTTGTTTTCTTGTTCTTGAAATTTGTAAACATAATAATTCCTTTTAAATTAACTTACAATTGTGCATTAACATCAATCATACAAAATAAACATACCTGTCTTACAAATTTAATATCTTTTGTTTGTTAAACTGTCTTTTTTCAACTTGCTTTAAATTGACCAATTTTCTTTTTCAAAATTATCTACAAGTTCTCAGAAGTTCATATCTGACTTTAGATTGAACTAATAATATTATGAGCAACAAGGTGGTGACATTTTGTCATGTTAATGCCATGTTGTGATTTGTTGAAAATATACTTAATAAAGATTCATATTACATAAAAATAATTCTGGAATTCCATTTTACCCTTTCCAATAATTTTCTTATTAACCTCTTGAATCCCAGGCTCTAAAATTGGCATGAAACCAGAGAATTTTTCATTTTTTGCCACCTTTTGACATTTTATTTCAATTACCTATACAACTTTAGATGCTCAGCTTAGTAAAATTGGACGGCAGAGATCATTTCAACACGTTTTAAAACAATTTTTGTGTAAATTGGATGAAAATTGTTCAAATGAGAGCAATTATTGTGAAAAATTTTGTGACGGATTTTCTCGTCCCTCTGGGCACCAGTCTTATTTCATTTGTGACGGATATATCCGTCACTCTGGGTATTCAAGAGGTTACACTAATGGGTACGGATCCTTTCTGGTGAATATATTCAAAATCCTGACACCAAAGACTGCAAAAAACGTTGGGATGAAAAAGTGCACAACACTTTCAATCCTCAGTCTAAACATTGCTTTTTAAGCATGCATATTTCAAAATTCAATCTTGGAAGGTTTAAGACCATTTTTCATTGCTGCACTTATGAATTCCTTTAACATGCAGTATAATTTATTAGAATCATCCTGAAATCCCTATGTGTTATTATTATAGAATTTGATTATTTAGGTGAATGCAGCCTGTGCCTTACCCAGTGATGGAGTGTCTGTAAAAGACATCTCTAGTGCTTACTGCTCAGTGGCAGAGCTTTACATGACAGATCTATGGTAAGAATGGTCAAGAGACATTTGTTATTATTACATCTCTAGTGCTTACTGCTCAGTGGCAGAGCTTTACATGGCAGATCTATGGTAAGAATGGTCAAGAGACATTTGTTATAATTACATCTCTAGTGCTTACTGCTCAGTGGCAGAGCTTTACATGACAGATCTATGGTAAGAATGGTCAAGAGACCTATGTTATAATTACATCTCTAGTGCTTACTGCTCAGTGGCAGAGCTTTACATGACAGATCTATGGTAAGAATGGTCAAGAGACATTTGTTATAATTACATCTCTAGTGCTTACTGCTCAGTGGCAGAGCTTTACATGACAGATCTATGGTAAGAATGGTCAAGAGACATTTGTTATAATTACATCTCTAGTGCTTACTGCTCAGTGGCAGAGCTTTACATGACAGATCTATGGTAAGAATGGTCAAGAGACATATGTTATAATTACATCTCTAGTGCTTACTGCTCAGTGGCAGAGCTTTACATGGCAGATCTATGGTAAGAATGGTCAAGAGACATTTGATATAATGTAACATCTCTAGTGCTTACTGCTCAGTGGCAGAGCTTTACATGACAGATCTATGGTAAGAATGGTCAAGAGACATTTGATATAATGTAATATCTCTAGTGGTTACTGCTCAGTGGCAGAGCTTTATATGACAGATCTATGGCAAGAATGATCAAGAGACATTTGTTATAATTACATCTCTAGTGCTTACTGCTCAGTGGCAGAGCTTTACATGACAGATCTATGGTAAGAATGGTCAAGAGACATTTGATAGAATGTAACATCTCTAGTGCTTACTGCTCAGTGGCAGAGCTTTACATGACAGATCTATGGCAAGAATTATCAAGAGACATTTGTTATAATTACATCTCTAGTGCTTACTGCTCAGTCGGAGAGCTTTACATGACAGATCTATGGTAAGAATGGTCAAGAGACATTTGTTATAATTACATCTCTAGTGCTTACTGCTCAGTGGCAGAGCTTTACATGACAGATCTATGGTAAGAATGGTCAAGAGACATTTGTTATAATTACATCTCTAGTGCTTACTGCTCAGTGGCAGAGCTTTACATGACAGATCTATGGTAAGAATGGTCAAGAGACATATGTTATAATTACATTTCTAGTGCTTACTGCTCAGTGGCAGAGCTTTACATGGCAGATCTGTGGTAAGAATGGTCAAGAAACATTTGTTATAATTACATCTCTAGTGCTTACTGCTCAGTGGCAGAGCTTTACATGACAGATCTATGGTAAGAATGGTCAAGAGACATATGTTATAATTACATCTCTAGTGCTTACTGCTCAGTGGCAGAGCTTTACATGGCAGATCTATGGTAAGAATGGTCAAGAGACATTTGATATAATGTAACATCTCTAGTGCTTACTGCTCAGTGGCAGAGCTTTACATGACAGATCTATGGTAAGAATGGTCAAGAGACATTTGTTACAATTACATCTCTAGTGCTTACTGCTCAGTGGCAGAGCTTTACATGACAGATCTATGGCAAGAATGATCAAGAGACATTTGTTATAATTACATCTCTAGTGCTTACTGCTCAGTGGCAGAGACATTTGTTACAATTACATCTCTAGTGCTTACTGCTCAGTGGCAGAGCTTTACATGACAGATCTATGGTAAGAATGGTTAAGAGACATTTGTTATAATTACATCTCTAGTGCTTACTGCTCAGTGGCAGAGCTTTACATGACAGATCTATGGTAAGAATGGTCAAGAGACATATGTTATAATTACATCTCTAGTGCTTACTGCTCAGTGGCAGAGCTTTACATGGCAGATCTATGGTAAGAATGGTCAAGAGACATTTGATATAATGTAACATCTCTAGTGCTTACTGCTCAGTGGCAGAGCTTTACATGACAGATCTATGGTAAGAATGGTCAAGGGACATTTGATATAATGTAATATCTCTAGTGGTTACTGCTCAGTGGCAGAGCTTTATATGACAGATCTATGGCAAGAATGATCAAGAGACATTTGTTATAATTACATCTCTAGTGCTTACTGCTCAGTGGCAGAGCTTTACATGACAGATCTATGGTAAGAATGGTCAAGAGACATTTGATAGAATGTAACATCTCTAGTGCTTACTGCTCAGTGGCAGAGCTTTACATGACAGATCTATGGCAAGAATGATCAAGAGACATTTGTTATAATTACATCTCTAGTGCTTACTGCTCAGTCGGAGAGCTTTACACGACAGATCTATGGTAAGAATGGTCAAGAGACATTTGTTATAATTACATCTCTAGTGCTTACTGCTCAGTGGCAGAGCTTTACATGACAGATCTATGGTAAGAATGGTCAAGAGACATTTGTTAAAATTACATCTCTAGTGCTTACTGCTCAGTGGCAGAGCTTTACATGACAGATCTATGGTAAGAATGGTCAAGAGACACATGTTATAATTACATCTCTAGTGCTTACTGCTCAGTGGCAGAGCTTTACATGGCAGATCTATGGTAAGAATGGTCAAGAAACATTTGTTATAATTACATCTCTAGTGCTTACTGCTCAGTGGCAGAGCTTTACATGACAGATCTATGGTAAGAATGGTCAAGAGACATATGTTATAATTACATCTCTAGTGCTTACTGCTCAGTGGCAGAGCTTTACATGGCAGATCTATGGTAAGAATGGTCAAGAGACATTTGATATAATGTAACATCTCTAGTGCTTACTGCTCAGTGACAGAGCTTTACATGACAGATCTATGGTAAGAATGGTCAAGAGACATTTGTTACAATTACATCTCTAGTGCTTACTGCTTAGTGGCAGAGCTTTACATGACAGATCTATGGCAAGAATGATCAAGAGACATTTGTTATAATTACATCTCTAGTGCTTACTGCTCAGTGGCAGAGACATTTGTTACAATTACATCTCTAGTGCTTACTGCTCAGTGGCAGAGCTTTACATGACAGATCTATGGTAAGAATGGTCAAGAGACATTTGTTATAATTACATCTCTAGTGCTTACTGCTCAGTGGCAGAGCTTTACATGACAGATCTATGGTAAGAATGGTCAAGAGACATTTGATATAATGTAACATCTCTAGTGCTTACTTCTCAGTGGCAGAGCTTTACATGACAGATCTATGGTAAGAATGGTCAAGAGACATTTGTTATAATTTACATCTCTAGTGCTTACTGCGCCGTGGCAAAGCATTGCATAACAGATCTATGGCAAGAGATATCTATTTTAATTACATCTCTAGTGCTTATTGAGCACAAAGTATTGTAGCTCTCTTGTAGCTTAAAGCACCAAATAGTAAAGCTTTTGCTTCACATCCAAGAGATTTGCATGGCATTCCAAAGTGTGGACTTTTGTATCTTATTAAAAAGGTTTTTATCACACTTTGAAAAGGTGCAATATTGTCATGATCTGTTGCTGCTAGGCAGGCCTGTGGGAGTCTCTTGTTGGTGCCACATAAATCTTGTGATCAAAATTCAAGAAAAACTGCTGATATCTGTTCAACTTAAAATACTTACAGAGGCAAGGACCGAGTAGTGCCATGATCCGATTATGTTTTTGGTATGCAGGGTATATTACATGGCAGCCATTTTACTCTTCAAAGTGTGATATTTATCACTGTGTATCTGGTTTATTCTAGTGATGAAGCTGATGCCGAAGTTCAATGTAGGACAGCCCTTGAGAGAGCTATAGAAAGAGACGCTACCTATGCTGAGGCTTTCCACCTCATGGCCAGTTTCCAGCTTATAAAACAAAATAAAAATGTATGTTACTTTATGATGACCTGAAAATTATTTAATATGTTTATTTGGAAAATCATAGTAACACAGCAAATAACAGTACTCAAATATATAAAATAATAGAAGAGCCAAACAGCAAATCTTAGGTCTTTGCTTTCAAGTTGATGAATTTATTCATTATCTCTTAATGCAGAAAGTGCATGATCATATCATATGGATTGTAAACTTTGTATCTGTATGTAATTTAGGAAGCTAAAAAGATGATTGACCAAGGAGTGAAGCTATGGTTACCCAAGCTACAGAGCATTGATAAATCAGAAACTTTAGCGAGTGAAGATGAAAAAGAGATTGACCCCTTACAGGTTAATGCTTATATTACATGCACTCAACATTATTTCTGAAAATTGACCGTGAAACAGAATTTCAAAAATGCAACCTAAATAACAGAAGAGCTTATGTGATGGGTTTCCACTTAAAAATGTGTTATATTCGGCTAAAGTATTGTATGTGACTCAATACAAGCATTGCAATACTCACTACAATTAGAGTTGGCAGTTATGCCCAAGAGGGTTATGATGTGCAGTGTTCTCCCCAGGATTTTTTCTCAAGTGGGTGCAAAATTCTCATTTTCACAAATCAGCATAAAATTGGTCAAACTATGCCCATTTTACATGATTTTCTCATTTTCAAGTCGGTGCAAATGAAATATTGGGTGGGTGCAAGCCTGTTTTTAAAATCTTAGGTGACCTTTCTTTGACCTTGATATGGCGAACTTTTTGAACACACGTTTCTCTTGAACCAGTCATCCAAAAATTCTGAAAATTTTACACATTGTCAATTTAATGGTCATCTTTTGAATGGTAACAATATAATTTGAAATAGATATCTATACTTTTCTCTATATTGTTTTAGAAAACACATCGCACACTTCTTTTGTTCTTGGTATCATATGTTCGGAAAGAAATGAAACATCTATCCGAACCTCATTGGAACAAAATGACATAAACACAATATTGTAATTATACAAAGGAAAGTTTGGTTGATTTAAAAAAGGATCTTGTTAATGAAACTAAAGGTTTATCTTAATTTTTATCTATGTCGCGGGTTTTAGTTTAATGTTTTGAATACTTTTTGTTCAATCAACCAAAATTTCCTTTGTACAACTATAATATTGAGAAGTCTAAGAAAATGTTGTATATGTTATTTTATTCAAACAAGCTCCGGAAAGATATTTTATTTCATTCTCAAAAAATGATAGAAAGGAACAAAAACAATTGCACTAAAAAACAAAAAATATATATAAATTATTTTCGCATTAAATTGTTGTCAATCAGTCAACATTACGTAAAGGACCATGTTTTTTACAGAATGTTTTCAATAATTGGTTTAAGAGAAAAAAATTGTTGAATTCAGTTCTCCATATCGATACCAATCCTTTTATAAACTGATTCCTAGAGATAAAGGAGCTCTGCTTGAGAAGAAATTTTCAAGGTTTATCGAAATCTCTTTTATTTTTTATTAAACACGTAATCCTTGAAAACTCAAGTACCAGTTGACGGATTTGGATTAAATTGTATATGCTGATGCCTTGGACATAGGAGCTCTGCTAAAGAAGAAATCTAAAGATGACAGCTGAATTTCAAAATGGCAACCATGTTTCTTAAAAACATAATCTTTGATAACTCAAATACTAGTGGATGGATTTGACTCAAATTTAACACGGCCGCCATTTATCAAAACATGTTTTGTTCGGTGGGATTTGCTACTCCATGAAGTTGCTGTTTTTCAAGTTACATATTTCAATAAGAGTCCTACTTCATTTGAAAATAAAAAAGAATTTTATTTGAGAAAAGGTGTTTTACTTTAAAAAGAAATTATCAACTCACAAAGTGTTTGAAAGTAATTTCAATAAATGGCACATGGAGGATAGGGGTCTAATAACAGGAATATTTGGTTAGCTCATTTTTTAGCTCTCATGGTGAACTATTGCAATCACTCACTTCTCCGTCTGTCTATCTGCCCGTCCATTTGGTAGCTTTATATGATCATAATATAAACTGGAACAATGTAAAAATCATTGATAATGAGAGTCATGATCTTAAACGTATGGGTTAAGGAAGCAATTCATATTAAAACAATGCAACCTAAAATGAACAGAGATAATGGGTATCAGTTGGACAATTTGTATCATAAAATATTGTAAATTAAGAATGGTATAGCAAAGTATGCAATAGTAATATTTGAGTTTAATTGTTACCATAACGATGATATATTTATCTTAAGGTTATTATTAGGTCATTCGTTTTTTCGTATCTATGTTTTTTGTTGTTGTTATTTTTTAGGTTACTAGGTCATTTGTTACATAATTAAATTTTCCATTGTCTGTTTATGACGTCACATAAATGTATACATGCTGTTATATTTTGAAAAAGACTAAGGGATATTAGTCGAAAGTCTCAATAAATTAAACATATTCTCTGAAGTAAAGAATTTGACTTGTTTCTGATATATCAGTTTTCTTTATTTTCTGCCATTTAAGGGGAGGCATCAAAAGTTCGATGTCGGATAGAAAACTAGTACACATTTGTGTTCTTGTTTTTTATTTTCAGGCATTTTAGTTAACATTGAATTTTCAATCTGTCTCATGAAATCCACTTTTGGACCATTTGTTTTAAAACCTCTGTTGATAGGATTCCCTTTTAAGTTATTTTTGTTCAACATCAATACAGAAAACCCCCTATGACTCCTGGTTCAAAAGCTCACCTCTTTTCAAAATGGCTGCTATTTTTGTCTCGCAAAATTCACTTTTGGACCATTTGGTAGTTTTATAGATAATTTCAGGTGTCCTGCATTGAAAAAGCTTGTCACTCAAAAGAGCAGTTTTATGAAATAATTTTGTTACAAAAAATCGGCAAAAAATTATATCAGTTTTCTTTATTTTCTGCCATTTAAGGGGAGGCATCAAAAGTTCGATGTTGGATAGAAAACTAAATAAATCTAGTTAGGGGGGAGGGGGTTCAAACCCATTTCGGTTTGCTATCCGACAAATTTCAACATTTCAAATTTTTGGCAATTTCAACTCAGAATGCCTTGGAATGGTTTAAAAATAAAGATTTTACCTGATGCTTTCTTCGTCAAGATCATTCCAATGGATTATATTCTATCAATAGTTGTTAAAAGCCGCAAATTACGATAGGAATTAACAAAAACTAGATCATGTTTAGCAATAATTTTTCAAATTCTCAAACCGGAAGTAAGCGATCAACTTTCACGGTATTTAGTTTTGGGGGGAGGGGGGGGGTCTGAGTCAAAACTAGCTTTATTTAGTTTCCGATCCGACATCGAACTTTTGATGCCTCCCCTAAGATAACATTGATTTGTCCATTTGTCTCTCAGTCAGTCAACAATAGAAGCAAGTTTTACAACCTGGGTCAATAAGATTCCTGTTTTAAATAATTTTGGTTCCTCTTTAATACAGAAGTCCCCCCTGTGAGTCCAGGTTCAAAAGCTTGCCTATTTTCAGTTGCTGCCATTTTAGTTGCATTGTAAAAGAATTTATAAAAAACTATATCTGCTTTTTAGCTTATTTTTTTGTCTGCCATTTTAGCCATCATTCACTTTTCTTATTCTTAGCAATACCATGTGAACCCAGTACCCATGGTACTATTTATACATTGAAGATTGAAAAATGCAATTAAGTCTCTCCACATCTATTTCAGGTAGTAGATATAAGCTATGGTAGTCGGGTGGAGGCAGCTAAGATCCTGATTGAAGTAGAGGACTACAAGACAGCCAATGAGGTGCTAGAGTACCTACTAGATGAAGATGATACCAGTGTACAGGTACTGTTACATGAATGAGCAAATCATTTCACACACATACTGTACCTATAAAATGGCACGCTTACCACACAAGGCATTATATTGTTCATATGGATGTCAATGTAGTTTGTAAGGGATATTGAGAAGTCCATCCATCTGTCTGTCTGGATGATAACTCAAGTATCTGTCAACAGAATTGGTACAAATTTTGTAGGCTGATACCTTATGTGCATTGGATTTCTGCTCAAGATGGAGTTTCCAGTACGGTCACTCAATTCAAAATGGCCACCATATTTTGTAAAAAATAAGATCTTTGATAACTCGAATACTTTTATAGGTTAATTCCTTACAACTTCCTTATTGATCATGTATAATTTGCACAACTACCTTAATGCTCAACTGCTATGTTGCACAACTACCTTAACCCAACTGCTATGTTGTTGTACAACTACCTTAAAAGAGTGACAACTACCTTAAAATATAAATTACAAAAGAGTGACCAGTCTGCCAATGCAGTACTGTTGGTGGAATGCCTGACAATAAAGCTACTTGGGCTGTGAGTGTGGGCATATGGTAAAGTAAGTCAGCTAGGAACTAACCACATCCAGAAGATTCAAAAGCAGGCCCAACACTAAAGTACATGATCATGTGACCTAGATCATGTGATAAAGTAGTTACTAAAGCTTTTTAAAGGTGGCATATCAGTACAGTCTCAGTATGTGCTGTGTTGAGAAGTAGTATACATTAGGTAGGAATAATCAGTTGTACCAACAATATTTAATATTTGAAAGTATTTATAAAAGTGCATGTCACATCCATGCGGACTCGTCTTCATTTTAATGAAATAAACCTTAAACACGGCCACAGTAAACTGATATAATAAATATACAATATCTTAAATGAATAAGAAAATTTAATACAAAAATCAAAAACATAAGTTAAAATAATCAAATGATTCAAAATATCTGTCAATAAGATGAATAATTCTCTAAATGCTATTATATTGGTATTTCCTCCCCTAATTAACAACCACGACCAAAAATAGATTGTTTATAAAATTATAGATCCCACTACAGTCATGATTTTGAAAATATGTTTTAAAGTGTAGTTATTATTTGAACTACAGTAACGCGCTGAAATCAGAGTGAAATCTCAATCTACTTGTGTTGATCTAAAAGTCTCTTAGACCTTCTCAGCTGAGGCACTTCTGCAGCTGTATCCTCATTAAGGAGCTTTTTGTTTCTGATCCCATCTGGCAATTCTTTCAAATCTTCTCTATTTACAGTTTTCCTCAGTGAGTCTTCATTCTCAATTGTATATGTGTCTCCTTTCCTTTCAATCACTTTGTATACAGAATCTTCATAATAGTCTTGTATCTTGTTTCTTCCAAGTGTTCTCCTTCTTGTTAAGAATTTTCTTCCGATGTCTATTTTATTTTCTATGATTGTTGGTTTCTTGTCATGTCTTTCTTTTCTTCTATCAGCGTTTTGATTGATATTTTCTTCCGCATGAGCATAAGCTTCTTTGAACTTCTGGTTTTGTTTAGTTACCCAGTTATCTGCTTTATTTCCTTCAGAATCTTCATCTTCATTCTCTGAATCAAGCACTGAAGATAGTGGTAGTGATGCTTCTCGGCCAAACATCATGTAAAACGGTGAATAACACGTGAAGCTATGTGGGGTTATGTTGTAAGAATACACCAACTCCTTCAGGTATTCTGGCCATTTGTTCTTCTTCTTTGCTTCTAGTGACAGCAGTAGATTGTGGAGGGTTCTGTTGAACCGTTCGCACTGACCATTTCCTTGGGGATGGTACGGTGTGGTTCGTGACTATTGAACATTGTATGTTTGATACAGTCTACTATCTTGCTCTCAAAGTTCCTTCCCTGGTCGCTGTGTAGTCGTTTGGGAATACCATAAACTAAAAACAGATCTTTCACAAGAATTTTTGACACTGTTTCAGCTGTTTGGTCCTTACTTTCTTTGGCAATTGTGAACTTTGTAACGACGTCAGTTATGATCAAAACGTTTTCCATTCCGTTGGTAGCTTTTTCCAAAAGTGTAAAATCAATACAGACTAGGTCTAGTGGTGATTTTGCGGTTAATCGTCCTATGGGAATAATGATTTTGTGAAAGGGCATCTTGTCAAATACACATCGATTACATGTCTTGATATATTCACATATGTCATGTTTCATTCCTGGCCAAAAGTATCTATCACTAATCAGTTTATCAGTTCTTTCAACACCTTGGTGTCCTGCAAAATCATGTCCTGCTTTTAGAACTTCTTCTTTTAGAACAGTAGGAATAGCAACTTGATTGACATCTTTATCATTTGACTTCACCTTCCTATACAATATGTTATCAACTAGTCTGAGTCTATGTCTTTGTTTCTCCCATTTTCTTTGATGTTTTGTCATCTTTTTCAGTATCTTAGGTGTTGGAATAATGTTATGTTTTATGATTTCTTTGATGAGACTGATATCTTGATCATTGTCTTGTAATGTGGCTAGACCTTCCTTTGTAATAGTAAGGAAGACAGTTGTTTCCGTTGAAGTTATATCACTTTCTACTGTCAGAACATTTACTTCCTTCTGGTTAATTTCTGTAGACAGATCTGGAAGGTGTGTAGTATTGGTGATCTCTGCGATAACACTCGTAGCACTGACTTCGAAGTCATCATCCTCATCTTCATCTTCTGAACTGTGTTCTAGTCTGGAGAGTGCATCTGCTGCAGTGTTCTTTATTCATGGCTTGTACTTTATCTCAAAGTTGAAGCATGCTAAGTCAGACACCCAACGTTGCTCTAATGCTGGTAGTTTCGGCTGCCATATCCAATGACTCTCATCTTTCCTTCTTGTTCTTGGAGAAGTTCACATCCGAGTCCTGATGATGACGCATCTATCTCTAACACAAAAGGCTTGTTGTAGTCTGCGAAAGCAAGGACTGGTGCTGTAGACAGTTTTTCTTTAAGTGTAGCCTGTGCTTGTGTACAATCTTCTGTCCATAGCTTTTCAATATTCTCAGTCTTCTTTTTTGTTACTTTGTGACCACAAAAAAACATGTTTTCTGGCAAACCAGTTGACTGATCGATTTCAAATTTCCAGGAATGATTCTTTGTATGAAAACCTTAAACTACTTAGTCTTTGGGCAGTCCTGCTAAATTTTAAGGCGGCCACATTGGATTTAGGTGTTAGGCTGTTAGGAGGTTGATTGGTGTTAGCCATTCAGGATGAAAAATTTGCAGTATATAGGATCATCCATTGGTGGGGACATGTTGTACACATTTGTGTTCTTGTTATCTGTCCAGGCCATGGAGAATGCATTGAGCAAGCACTTGAGGAAATGGCTAGGCTTGCCCCTTCCTTTAGCTCTGTCAACCTGTACAGCACTACTTCCAAACACTCCTTACCACTGACATCAGTGGTGGAGGAGTTCAAGGCCACCATAGTTAGGACTGTCGTGACTCTAGAGCAATCAAAAGACCCAACCCCCCCATCCCTAGCCAAAAATTCTTTCAAAATCATGCAGGTTTCACCATTCTGAGCACTGTTCATGTGATTTTGGCCATTTTTTGGGCTGTAGTTGTCAAAAATGAACTCCCCCTGGCAAATCCTGGATACGGGCCTGCAAATATTTAGAGGTTATGTCACTATCGTGGCATATATGCCCTCGGTCTCAGGGATATATGGCCCGACCTTGGGAGGGACATTGATCTCTGAGAACCGAGGGTATATGTGCCACAATAGTGACATAAATGATTTATAACATACCTATGATGATGTAGACTGGTCAGAGAGTACCGTTTTCTTATAGAATTGACAAACAAATGGTTTGAAAATGATAGAAAGGAGTTTAGAAAAATTGCTCGTGCAGTTTTATCTTCGATTGATTGGTTATGACGTCAGCGCCTTGACCAATCAGAAAGTTAGCTTATATTGGCCCGCTGTCTTGTGTACACTTTGCACTATACATCATCATAGGTATGTTATAATAGCCTTTTCTGACCTGCTTTTTTTAATAAAACTAAAATTACACATAGTTACAATGTTTAAAATCTGTAGTTTTTCATTTTCAAAAAATGTACATACGAGGGTATATCATAAAATTATTATAATATCTCTCTAATCTTTTTATTTTTCAATATATTCTTATGAAATTTTCATAGAATCTGTAGTATAGAATACTATATTAATCTATCATCTACAATCGATTCCCGTTTTAAGTTATTTTAGTTCAACATCAATACAGAGAACTCCCCTATGACTCCTGGTTCAAAAGCTCACTTATTTTCAAAATATGGTTAAACGTGGTTAGTTGGGGCTATTCTTGCACAATTTTTTATTTGTAATATTTGCCTAATATATTTGTCATTTCAACTTGCCTAACATGTACAACATTTTTTGAGGGATAGATTCGATTCCGAACTCTTCTTTAATAATTTGAATATAATATCAAAACAAAATGGTAAGAGCATTTCTTAAATTGTTTCCAAAAATCAACGGAGCATTTCGAGGAAAACAAACGATTTCTCGAGAACAAGTAATGGATTTGGACTGGGATTTTAGCACGCGAGAATATATAGTTTGTGATCTACTACTTTGACAGAAAGATTGGCGTTTTCATATAAATACTAGTTTAATTCGCAATTTGTGGTCAATTCGTCATCTTCAGATTTGTTCGACCTACACTACGGAGCTTTGATCAAGCAAATAACAGTTTGCCACCAGAAGTTGGATAGATAAGATCTTTGCTCAGGGTATTGTTCATCGAATGGTACATAACGTATGATATGTAAGAGAAACAAGTGAAACAGTACTTACGGTCATAGTAGGCCACCATTTTATTTCGCTCCCCAGCATTTCCGCATGAATGAAACGCTCCGTCATGGGCTTTGTATAAAAACGCTCCTACCTCGTAGCCACCTACCCACGTACGTGGGACATGAAACAGTCTTTGAAGGGTTCAATTTTAAAGAAGTTATTAAATCTTAGCTTATGATGAATTATAGATGAATTAACGTACCCATATACCTTTATTTATGGATCAGTCATCCGTCTATAGTCATAAAATAAAGCCGGAATTGCCTGTCATGTCTGCTTTTGATTTCTCAAAATGATTTTGTTGATCAGGCAGTCTGGCTTTGTATAAAAAACCTCGTACCCACATAATATTTAAAGATTATTATTCATTCTCAGTTTATGCTTAATTATAGAGTAAATGGTGATAATGTGCTTTTATGAAGTGGGGAAGTCAAAACATTACAAAACATTACCCTTGTAGAAATTATAGTAAGCATTAATAGAAGATCACTTAGAAGAATTTAAAATTGAATCCGCGGCAAACTCTTAATAATTGAAATATCACACAAGGACGTCACATATCATACTTCTGGTTTTATAATCAATGATTCTATCAATCAACAAATATTTTATGAATTTGTCCGATATCTGCTTAAATGTGGTATGTATACTTGCGTTGATTGTTAAATTGCAAAATAGGTAGGTTTAAGAATATGTCAAAGTGGTTGATCTCGTCCAAGAAGCAATATTATGTCATTTGTCTCTCCCCAAATTCCTTTAACATTTTTCCAAGTCCGGCTTTATTTTATGGCTAGACAGTTGACAGATCGTTAAATAAAGGCATATGGGTGCATTGATTCATCTATAATTCAACATAAACTCAGATTTAATAACTTCTAATAATCTAATAATAATTCTAATAATCTTCTTAATAATCTTTAAAATTGAACCCTTCAAAGACTGTATCATGTCCCACGTACGTGGGTAAGTTGATGCGAGGTAGGAGGTTCTTTATACAAAGCCTCCGTCGTGCATGTAAGAGCGTTTGGGTTGGACAACCTGGCTAGACATATGAAAAAATATTTTCTTTAGGTGTGGTACCTGCTGGGTCTCCAGAACTACCTGGAAGGGGCAGACTACAAGGCTAATGCCAGGTACTATCTCACTAAAGCAACAACTCTTTATACAAAAAAGGTAAGACTCAACATATATAAAAAAGATGAATGAATGAACAATGAAAAACAAGTAACGGATAGGTATCGATATTGTGAACTGAATTCAACAATACTTTTCTCTATTAATAAACCAATTATTGAATGTTGGTCCTTTATGTAATGTTGACTGATTGGCAACAATTTAATGCAAAAATTATTGATATATATTTTATATAACTGTTTTTGTTATTATAGAGAGATTTCGCACATAAGTGAAAGTACAACTTATACGTATACGTATACCTTAAAGGGTCACGTCGAACTATTATATTTACTAAAATCAATTTTAAATTGTACTTAATGGAACATAACTATTCCCGTTATAGAAAAGCTCCACCAACTAGAGACTGTGAATGCACTGTCATCTGCACGTGTAGATTATGCACATTATAATTAAATGCTTGCTTTCATGTCCTTGTAGTTGTAGTGTATTATAAACACGATCCTTTAAAGTGAGTCATGATTCTTTAAAGTGAGTCATTACATAAACAAGTTGATTATTTCAATGTTTTCATGATCAGTATAAGTCCAATGAACTTACAAAACGGTATATTTACGTAGGTGATAACGTATACAGTTGGATCTCCGTATAAAGATTTGCCTACATGTGTGTGGAACAATTGACCGCAAGCATTTTTAAAAATTAATTGACTGAGTGGTAACAGTATCCAATCAAATACCATCAATTTGAAACACCAATCAAACCAGTAGGTTCTAGCAATTCCTGGAAACGAACCATTCAGTAGCTCAACAAATGACATACAGGGTGTTTCATAACGAGCATCTCCAAAAAGTCAATTTGAGAAGAGATGGGTCTATAACATATGTACTATATATGAGCCTATTTTATTCTAGAGAAACACATTTGGATCAACTAAACATGCTACCATTCAAGAAAGTACAAATGGCATCCCTTTGACCTGTATTTATTACAGTTCGAGAAGATCTTTCCTGACGAAATGCCCACATTATGAAACACCTTGTACGTTTACCTATAAGTATAAGTATACATTATAAGTTGTACTTTCACGAGGTGCGAAATCTCTCTAATATTTTTATCCCATTGAACGAAGTTCAGAGGGATATAGGGAACGCCTCCGTCTGTCCGTTCGTACGTCCGTCCGGGCAATAACTCAAATACCGTAAGCCCGATTTTGTTCATATTTTGTACACATATACCCAATGGGGGTAGAAGTTCTGTTCGAAAACCGATTTTAGTGCCGATTTTACAGAAATTTAGGTACTGCATATAAAACTGTAATAGCAATATGTTTTAAATGTAAAAAAAAGTTATATAGGACATTGATTAAGCTAGAAATGTAAATACAGAAGAAATACCTGGCAGCCATCTTGAAAAATGGCTGCCTTTGCACGTCTTTTTACGATTTTTGCTGTAACTTAAAAAGTAGTGGAGCAATTTTGTTCATATTTGGTATGTGAATACTTTAAGCATGGCACAATGTCTGATGACATTTTTGGTAGTAGGCGGCCATTTTGAAAAATGGCTGCCATTTTTATGTGTGTTATTTAACATTTTTTACTGTAAGTCAAAAAGAAGTAGAGCGATTTTGTTCATATTTGGTATGTGAATACTTTAAGCATGGCCCAATGTCTAATGACATTTTGGGTAGTAGGCGGCCATATTGAAAAATGGCCGCCATTTTTACGTGTGCTATTTTACATTTTTTACTATAACTCAAAAAGTAGCAGAGCGATTTTGTTCATATTTTATATGTGAATACTATAAGCATGGCACACTGTCTAATGACACTTTGGGTAGTAGGCGGCCATTTTGAAAAATGGCCACCATTTTTTACGTTTTTTACTATAACTTGAAAAGTAGTAGAGCGATTTTGTTCATATTTGATATGTGAATACTTATGAGCCTTGCACACTGTCTCATGACACTTCGCGTAGTAGGTGGCCATTTTAAAAAATGGCTGTCATTTTTACATTTTTTACTATAACTCAAAAAGTATTGCAGCAATTTTGTTCATATTTGATATGTGAATACTTAAGCATGGCACATTGTCAAATAAAACTTTAGGGAGTAGTTGGCCATTTTGAAAAATGGCCACCATTTTTATGTGTGTTATTTTACATTTTTAATGATCGTTTAATGCTTACTATGATTTCTATTAGTAATGTTTTGACCCGACTTCATAAAAAGAACATTTTCACCATTTACTTGACTCGAAAATTCACTTCAAGTCTATCATAATAAAGACGTACTGAAAGTAGTATACGATTCCAGCTTTATTTAATGACTAGACTTATAACAGATCCATAGATAAAGGCATATGGGTGCATTAATTCATCTTTAATTCATCATAATAGAGATTTAAAAACTTCTTTAAAATTGAACCCTTCAAAGACTGTATCACTTCCCACGTACTATTGAAAAATAGATTGGCCCTTTTGTTTCTTTTGGTGAGAACTACCTTACAAGCAGTCCCCCTTTAAACAGCTACATGGATATTGATTTAGTCTCTCGGCGATGTATCATCTTCAGGGGTAGGCATGAATTATGAATCAAAAATAGATTGAACCATTTGTTTCTTTAGGGGAAAACCACTTTACAAGCAGTGTCCATTTAAATGGCTAAATGAATATTGATTCAGTCTCTGCAATATCTTCAATATGCCCCGAACCGGTCAATCTTCTCACTGCAAGCAAATTGCCCCGAACCGGTCCGTCTTCTCGCTGCAAGCAGGATGAAATTCTTTGTCACAAAGTTTGGCATTTTTTATAAAATCAAACACGCGTCATTGAAACTCACAAGATGTAAATAGCATGTCATTTACATCATACCTTGATGGGGAAAAATAGATCTTATATGTTAGAAGTACTAAATAAAAGTTATCGTGAAAATGAGACAGCCGTTCTCGAGAGAAAAGAGCATAAATGCGCATTTAGAGAGTTTTGGTCCGTTTAAAAATCTGTAAAAAATTGGGGTACTTAAAAGCATCGGGAGGCATCATATATTTCAAATCAGACACGAGGAAGTCAATATTGAGCAAGTTATGGCTTTTTTAAATTCAAATAAAACCGTTAACCCGTACCGGTCCAGCTTTTGACCCGTACCGGTCAATTTTCGTTAGCTGCGTATACCAAGGGTGAGAATGACCTTTTTGTTTCTTTGGGTGAGAACGTTAAGCATCCCATTAATGGCTAAATGGATATTAATAAGATCCAATATGTAGACTATATCCTCCAGTCTGAATTTTTTTTAAAATATGGAATGAAAATATTCAGACTATAGCCCACATATGTTAAAATGTGGGCTTGAAAATTATTTGTTTACAAAGGAAGTGCCATTCAAAATGGCAGATTGGGTAAATAAATTTGCATATTTTTACTTCCCCTAGCTTTGTTTCCATTTGACAATATGCGGTGTTACTTTTTATAGCATTTAATTGTACCTTAAATTGAATTGTTATAATGCTTGTTTTTTGGAAGTGAAGTTTCCTAAAATTGATAATTGTGTGCAGGAAATTTCCTGTTTTCCCACAGGAGGGACATAATGATCAATTGACTGAATTCTCAGGAAATTCAGTCTATTGGAAATAGACTAATCCAATATGGCCTCCTTTTTGAAACTAAAATTTTTGCTATACTTTCACATTGTTTATCTTCCACATTCAGGACCCTCTCTTATTTCATGTTTGAACTATGCAATAATGTCAATACTAAACAATAAAGGTTAAATCAGAGGGGGTCTGACCTGCGGAAGCACCATGATCTGTCAGTGTCTGCAGAAGGTCATTTATTCTTGAAAACAAGAACACAAAGTGCCTTTCAAAACAATAGGATTACAAAGTATTTATGCATGACCGATCCGCTAAGTGAAACTTAATATGCTCTGACACATTGTAGTTTTATACTGACATGTCAATTCAAGTATATCTACAAACATCAAGATTTTATTCAAGTTTTTGTGAAAATATGTGAAAATTACTCATTTTAAGAGTCAGAATGACATGTGTTAAGAATCACTGTAAAAAACAACTTTTTACCTTATTCTAAATATTGTTTTTGTGATTTGTTGAAAATAAACTTCTTAAAGATTCATATTATATAAAAATAATTTTGGAATTCCATTTTACCCTTTTCAATAAATTTAGTCCTTATAGGTACACTAAGGGGAGGCATCAAAAGTTTGATGTCAGATAAAAAACTAAATAAATCTAGTTAGGGGGGAGGGGTTTCAAACCCATTTCAGTTTGCTATCCGACAAATTTCAACATTTCAAATTTTTGGCAATTTTGACTCAGAATGCCTTGGAATTGTTTAAAAATAAAGATTTACCTGATGCTTTCTTCGTCAAGATCATTCCAAAGGATTCTATTCTATCAATAGTTGTTAAAAGTCGCTAATTACGATAGAAATTAACAAAAACTAGATCGTGTTTAGCAATAATTTTTCAAATTCTCAAACCGGAAGTCAGCGATCAACTTTCATCTTATTTAGTTTTTGGGGGGAGTCAAAACTAGATCTATTTAGTTTCCAATCCGACATTGAACTTTTGATGCCTCCCCTAATGGGTACGGATTTCAAAATTATTAATTTTGGGAGGATTGTTGCATCAACAAAGGACTGTATCGATATGGTGAACTGAATTCAACAATGTTTTTCTCTTAAACCAATTATTGAAATCATTCTGTAAAAAAACACAGACCCTTATGTAATTTGGACTGATTGACAACAATTTAATGCAAAAATTGTTTATATATATTTTATATAACTATTTTTGATAACATTTTTGTTTTTTTTTGTTTTTTAGTGCAATTGTTTTTGTTACTTTTTATCAATTCTTGAGAATGAAATTAAATATCTTTCCGAAGCTTGAAAATTAAGATAAACTTTTTATTTCATTAACTACATGGAGATACTTTTTTTTAAATCACCCAAACTTTCGTTTGTCCAATTACAATATTGTCATTTTCTTCCAATGAGGTTCCGATAGATGTTTCATTTCAT